TCAGAATCGATCATTCTGTTCACGTTAATGGAGATTAATGTCGGAGAAGACTTCGATAAGAATACCGGAAAGTTACATGTAGAATTTCAGGTTTTTATTATTTCATGTTTAGTTTTTTGTCGATAAATGGTAATTCTCCGTATGTTACAATGAAGTTAAATGGGCGAGATATCACAACCGTTCATCGTAGTACCACTAGTGGTTATGATCAGTTAAGTTCTGGAACAACAGTTCAACTGAATGTCAGCGATGAAGTCTGGCTGACGAACGAAGGTAGACAAGTCTATGGTAAGTCCGGTCACCCTCTTACCTTTACTGGGTTTATGGTATACGATATGAACTAACAAAGGATGTACTTTGCATTTTTGATGATTATAGATGTGCAAGTAGTTATGTAGATATTTTCCGAAAATACTTGATTGATTAAAAATAATAATAATAATAATAATAATAATAATAATAATAATAATAATAATAATAATAATAATAATAATAATAATAATAATAATAATAATAATAATTAATAATAATAATAATAATAAATTAGAGAATGCAATTTCTTGCATTTTATAGGTCTATATTTCCATTATTATTATTATTATTATTATTATTATTATTATTATGCCTATTATTAGACGAATCATTACGAACATTCATGACATGATGAATGTTGCTTGAAGAATAAAATATTGAATTGAAATATTGTAGTGTACAGGTTTCTGCCATTCCGTCCAACGCATCATGTGCGCATGTTTTGCAAAAACTTAACAACTGACCAATCAGAAGAACATTAGGAAGAAGGGCGGGGCTTAGCCAAATGGCTGTCAGGGTGTATTACACTATTGAAGCAGACTCTTTCGTGATCTCTTAAACGTTGTTGTATACATGCCTGAAGTCTACATGATAATGATAATTGATGCCACTAGGCCTGCTGTCTGCGTTCATGTGATCGGTGTATGTTTGATTAAGTACGATTACACGAAGTAGAAATGTATACGTTGACATTATAAATATAAGTATATTATTCGATTATATCGCATGTGCACTTCCTCAGCGATAACACCTATAATACGTGGTTAAGAGATTATTGTAAGATTCAAGCCTTGCGCATGCGTAAAATCAGTGAGCATCTGCTTTTCCGAAATCGTGACTTGTTTTTTCATCATATTGGTGCAAAGTTTAAATCGTTGATAATTAATTTTCCAGTTAAACACAGACATATTATAATAATTATCGCTATGTTAAAGATACCCAGCAAAAACTTTTTCAAATTATTCACCTTGGCGAAACCGACGTAACTCCTTCTCTTCTAATAGCAGGGGTGGCGTCAGCGGGAGAGGGGAAGGGCCCCAAATCGGGGAGAAAAAAAAACACACAATTTGTCGGGGAGAAAATCCATTAAATAAGCTTTTGAAACCTCTAATTTGTCATATTTTTTAAAGTTTCACCCCCTCGATCACTTTGAAATAATATTGAGTGACGCCCGACCACGACAACTTTGCTCTCGTCGGGGACATCGCCCCCCCCCCCCCCGTCAGGAAAATAATGGCGCCATCCCTGCCTAATAGATTATTATTATTATTATTATTATTATTATTATTATTATTATTATTATTATTATTTCTCCGAAAACAGTGTTATAGGACAAATTAGTAATGCATTACAATACAAAGTTACATCCCAATGCAAAATAGGCCCTATTAAATGTGTTGCAACATTCTAATGAACAATACAATAAACACCTTAGCAAATGGAAGACAACGACAATTGTGAGTCAACAATTTTGTTTATAATGCTGACACAGTGGTTTAAAAAAACAATATTGTAAAAACTGAATTATACACACAGTCTAAAAAGTTATAATGAATTTAAACATTCTCTATTTTAGTAGTAGTAGTAGTAGTAGTAGTAGTAGTAGTAGTAGTAGTAGTAGTAGTAGTAGTAGTAGTAGTAGTAGTAGTAGTAGTAGTAATAATAATAATAATAATAATAATAATAATAATAATAATAATAATAATAATAATAATAATATATTAATATTAATACCGAACCACAATATATCAGTCACCGATTTCATGTACCATTTGCAGTTTTAGTCTTTGGTTTTAGGGTATTTTGGGATTGATCACTCAGCCATTATGCTGATTTGTGAGACCACTGTTTGGACTAGTGGTGTACAACGCCTATGCGCTCTCGTGTGGCAGTCCCCTGGGCACTCGACTTCTAGGGGCCCCAAGTGGCCCCCATGATCGTCAGTGTAGCACCGGACCTGACACAAGAGAGGATTTGTTTATACATAAAGGCATTGACATTGAATAGGATCAGGGAACAGGCAGGATAGGCCTATATCATATTATATCAAGTGACAAAATAGAGAGGAAGAAGAGGCAGCCGAACCGGGTCCCCCTAAATTTTTCAAAATTATTTTTAGATAAAAACAAAATTGTATTCAAATTTTTAAGTCTATATGAGTCCATTTCCGGCATCTGCTGAGGTGCCATAATCATAATTTTTCCTACCTCAGCCACAAACCATGGTGCTGAGGTGGTATACGATACGAGAACAATTTTATTTCAATCTACTTTGTAAATAAATTGAAGTTGAACACACCCGACTTCTAGGGGCCCCAAGTGGCCCCTACCCATGATCATCAGTCTAGCACCGGACCTGACACAAGAGAGATTTGTTTATACATAAAGACATTAACTATAGGATCAGGGAACAGGCAGGATAGGCCTATATCATATTATATAAAGTGACAAAATAAAGAGGAGGAGGAGGCAGCCGAGCCGGGTCCCCCTAAATTTTTCAAAGTTATTTTTAGATAAAAATAAAATTGTCTATATGAGTGCCATTTCCGGCATCTGCTGAGGTGCCATAATCATAATTTTTCATACCTCAGCCCCAACCGTGGTGTTGAGGTGGTATACGATACGAGAACAATTTTATTGCAATCTACTTTGTAAATAAATTGAAGTTGAACAATCAAAAAATTAATTATCTAACAATTAAACAGCAAAGCGTTAAACATTAAAATTAAATATAAAAACAATGTCCGTCCGACTATGCAGGGAGTACTTTGCATCCTTTGAACAACTCGGTATTAATGATAAAGTTTTTTGATGTGTTAATATCACATTTGGGTAGATTAAATTCGGTACTTGTCCTCAAGTTATGTGATACATTACGTAATGAAGGGAGTAAATCACTTAATCTGTGATTGGAATTTTTAAATTTTTTGAAGCATTCCCTGCACAGTCGGGTTCGTCTGTCCTCCAACAGGAATACTTAGAATCAAACGTGCCTCATCATAATTACACCATTAGAGAATGATCTGAAATGCCGTTTCTGTATGTGTTCAACTGATGTAATTTGTTCGCGGGTCAGATTCGTAGCCCACACTGGCTCAGCATATCCAACTGCTGGCCGTAAAATACTACAATAAAAATGAACTACAGTACTGTAATTCAGTAACACCACGTTGGCATTATAAGATTTTAAAGATTGACGGAAATGATAGGCCTGCGCCTACATTGTCGGAAATTCCGGGAGATTTTCCAACTTAAATCCACCATGGTATTACTCGCTCTGTGTGTCCTTGAAGAAAAACTTGGCTTTGTGACCCATGATGTCTGCACGGTCTGATTTTACTTAGAACTTGCAATGATCTCTACAAATACCTGCAAAAAAACAAGACCCTTTATTTTATTTTTTGCTGGATTTTGCTATAGACTACACGCGCTCTTGTTACTCGTGTGGACATCAGCCAGGACAACCCCCTCCCCCCTCGTCTGCAAATCTTTGCGTCTCGTGTTGATGAACTTTGGTCAGATTAATTCATATTCATCTGCAGAAGTATATAGTCTAGTAGATTTTTATTATAGACTGTAGATGTAATGACATTTTAGTATTTTTTTTTTCTATTTTAACACAAATTAACAAACGAAGACACGATCAGCGTCTTGAGACCGAAGACCAAATACCCAACTACAATATAGGCCTACAAGTAACGACTGGGATTTTATCTAGATCGTATCAACGGATGTTTAAAATAAGCATGAAAGTTGTTCTAAAAATGTCGGTGTACAGAATAATATGAAAATTAGACTTACAATGTATGTGAAAACAAAACAGGGTTTTTTCTCATTGTTATAATGTGATGTTCAAATTAAAGTAAAAAGAGAATAATTAACAAAGTAATAAAGTAAAAAAATACATGACAAACAAAAAATCATGCAGAGGATTATGAAGTAAAAGAAAACATGGACACCAACTTAACGTCAGTGAGGCTCCAACCAGGGCTGCAATGGGTAGTATCGAGGGTGATGTGGAGAGTTCTACCCATCGCACAGAACCCAACTCCGCGAAGCTCAGTGCATTTCAGTTCATCTTGCGCAATTTCATAGGTTGAGGGTGAAAATGGTTTATACATATCACGGTAATGTTGCGTTTAACATAGCTGCCGCTAGTTTTGAAAAGCTTGAAAACGCAAAAATGTAATTACCATTTTAATAATATTTCAGATAATGTAAAATTACGTCATTTTTTAATATGCACATCTTTGATATGGTGTTTTCTTGGAAAACGTTTGAAGAAGATCCAAGTATGGAAATTAAACATAGGGAAAGGCGATTTGAAGGGGGAAAAAAATATGAACAAAAACATGGCTTTTCCACGGTTGCGCGGGAGAGCCATTAATTATAATTATATGATAGATCGAAATTCTATAACAAAAATTATAAAACTTCTAGCTCTTTTATTCTACAAGGAATAACTATAAATAACATGCAATGACGCAATGAGCAAGTTTACCATGAGTTCGTTTGAATAAATGAAAAAATTGGTCAAAGCTAAATTATACCGTATTTCACAAGTCCTTAAAATAGACGATTTTATTCAGCAACAGATGCTATATTTATTGACCAATGGCAATCGTTGTAATAGATGAGTACACATGACTGACTTTATTTCAGGATGCAGACGATTGCTGTTTGTCATTTCTTGAAGATCGTTATGACAAATTTAAGGTAAGAACAACCTTTTATATTTATTATTGGTAGAGAAATCGAAAATGGTTATGAAACATGAATGATAGACACCACATTTAAACGGAGGATGGTTTATTCGTTGAAAATATCATTTAATCATCAAAAAAAAAATCTTTGATAGAATTGTAGTTCCGCGATAGTGTTCTGCTAGTCATACCTTATTTTGTTAATGCTGAAGAATCTAGTCAACAATCTAAAATGTCATGAAGAAACTCAACTTTTCCTAAAATTTTGATACATGTCCTTTCATAAATTAGCTTCTACATGTTAAATAACTGATGAAAGTCCCGCTTGGGACAGCAAATTCTTCGTCAGATTTTTTTTTCGTGATGTGCTGCGCTGTATAAACAGTAGATTATTTCTAGGTTGTTAGCTTGCTGAGATAGTACAATAGGCCTATGTGAAAGTTATTGAATACGGAACCACACTCCGGGAACATTTGTGTAAATGATATATGGTAGCCCTCATAAAGTTAACCATTTCAATCGAAAAATATTAGGAATGTTTCAAAGATATCACGAAAGTTTGAACATTACTCTTTAAATGCGCGTTTACGTCTGGAGCGCTTTGAGACTTCGGTTAACGCTATATAAATATAATTATGTGTTAATAAATTATTTGACAATTATAAATTGTGGTGGGTGTGGTAGCGTAAAAAGAGAATGTGTCCACTTTTATTTCAATTCATTTTAAAATTAACTTTGCATGGAGAGATTTAACCAACCGGGTTGTTATTTCCAAATAATGAACAGAATTCTTTCGTTTTTTTATATTTAGAATACAAATGAATCCATATTTAACATCATGTGCACTCTTAATTTGTTTGATCAGTCTATTAACTTCTCTACCAGAAAGCTTGTCTACGACTACAACACCTGAAAAAAACGTCCATGAAACTTGTAATATGTGCTGCCACGGGCCGCCTGGGCAACCTGGGATTCCTGGAGTTCCAGGAACATCTGGAGGGTTGGGTCCAGCTGGACCATCTGGTAGTAAGGGTGACAGAGGTGAGTTTGTCCGAGGTGAAAAAGGAGATAGAGGCGGAAAAGGAGAGCCAGGAAATGAAGGTTCAAAAGGCAATAAAGGAAGCGAAGGATCTCCAGGTAAACAAGGCCCGCTTGGACAAATAGGACCACAAGGACTACATGGGAACAATGGATCAAAAGGAGAAAAGGGCGAATCACCGGAAGTCCGTAAATCTGCGTTTACTGCAGTACGCACCACTCACGTACCAACTTCAGAATCGATCATTCTATTCACGTCAATGGAGATTAATGTCGGAGAAGACTTCGATAAGAATACCGGAAAGTTTACATGTAGAATTTCAGGTTTCTATTATTTCATGTTTAGTTTTTTGTCGATGAATGGTAATTCTCCGTATGTTAAAATGAAGTTAAATGGGCGAGATATCACAACCGTTCAACGTAGTGTCACTAGTGGTTATGATCAGTTAAGTTCTGGAGCAACAGTTCAACTGAATGTCAGCGATGAAGTCTGGCTGACGAACGAAGGTGGACAAGTCTATGGTAATTCCGCTCACCCTCTTACCTTTACTGGGTTTATGGTATACGATATGAACTAACAAATGATGTACTTTGCGATTTTGATGATTGTAGATGTGCAAGTAGTTCTGTAGATATTTTCGGAGAAAGTCTTGATTGATTACAAATAATAATAATAATAATAATAATAATAATAATAATAATAATAATAATAATAATATGATAGGCCTATTTATAATAATAATAATAATAATAATAATAATAATAATAATAATAATAATAATAACAATAAAAATATGTGACACTTATCATAAAGTGCTCTATGCCGGCAAACCGACTCAAGAGTGCATACAGTCAATCATATTAAACAATACCATACAGCCAAGAAAATCCATTTTATGCAGCCACATCCCTTAAAAATGTCTGCTATTATTAAGCCCGTGATTTCTATGTAAGTAGGAGAGGGGAAGGGGGTGGGGAGGTTAGTCTTCTAAATTATAATTGAAATAAGGAAACAGTAGGCCTAAAAAATAAGATGAATAAAAAATAGATTGATTTAATTGTGTGAAATCGAATTGAGTAAGCAAGGACGTCAAGACAAGTGTTTGGAATTTGCTCAGATGAACATGTCATTTGTTGCTCTATGTAGTACGATACAGATCGCATGAACAGTAGCTTTACGTAATGAAAAAATGGCATAATATACAGTAAGAATTATCTATTAGGAATATAGAGGTTTTAAAAACTATTCGTGATTGGAAATTATGAACTTGAATACCAGAACTTTTTCAATTCAAAATAATCGTAAATATTTATTTTGAATAAAATTACCGTACTTTTATAGTTTGGTTTCTAATTAATGAAATTAGAGAATGCAATTTATTGCATTTTATAGGTCTATATTATTATTATTATTATTATTATTATTATTATTATTATTAGGCCTATTATTATACGAATCATTTCGAACATTCCTGACATGATGAATGTTGCTTGAAGAATAAAACATTGAATTGAAATATTGTAGTGTACGGGTTTCTGCCATTCCGTCCAACGCATCATGTGCGCATGTTTTGCAAAAACTTAACAACTGAACAATCAGAAGAACATTAGGAAGAAGGGCGGGGCTTAGCCAAATGGCAGTCAGGGTGTATTACACTATTGAAGCAGACTCTTTCGTGATCTCTTAAACGTTGTTGTATACATGCCTGAAGTCTACATGATAATGATAATTTATGCCACTAGGCCTGCTGTCTGCGTTCATGTGATCGGCGTATGTTTGATTAAGTACGATTACACGAAGTAGAAATGTATACGTTGACATTATAAATATAAGTATATTATTCGATTATATCTCATGTGCACTTCCTCAGCGATAACACCTATAATACGTGGTTAAGAGATTATTGTAAGATTCAAACCTTGCGCATGCGTAAAATCAGTGAGCATCTGCTTTTCCGAAATCGTGACTTGTTTTTTCATCATATTGGTGCAAAGTTTAAATCGTTGATAATTAATTTTCCAGTTACACACAGACATATTATAATAATTATCGCTATGTTAAAGATACCCAGCAAAAACTTTTTCAGTATTCACCTTGGCGGAACTGACGTAACTCCTTCTCTTCTAATAGCAGGGGTGGCGTTAGCGGGAGAGGGGAAGGGCCCCACATCGGGGAGAAAAAAAAAACACACAATTTTTCGGGGAGAAAATCCATTAAATAAGCTTTTGAAACCTCTAATTTGTCATATTTTCCATGGTTTCACCCCCTCGATCACTTTGAAATAGTAATGAGTGACGCCCGACCACGCCCACTTTGCTCTCGTCGGAGACATCGGCCCACCCGTCGCGGACCTCGGACCCCCACCCCCGTCGGGAAAAAACTGGCGCCACCCCTGCCTAATAGATTATTATTATTATTAATTCTCCGAAAACTGTATATAGGCCAAGTAAATAATAAACTAAATAACAAATAATGCATTACAATACAAAGTTATATGCCAATGCAAAATAGGCCCTATTAAATGTGTTGCAACATTCTGATGAACTATACAATAAAAACCTTAGCAAATTGAAGACAATGACAATTGTAAGTCAATAATTTTGTTTATAATGCTCACACAGTGGTTTAAAAATATAATATAGTAAAAACTGAATTATACACACGGTCTAAAAATTTATAATGAATTTAAACATTCTCTATTTATTGTATGTATTTCTTTAACTTAGAATGTGAATAACAATGATATAATAATAATAATAAATAAATAATAATAACAAATAATAATAATAATAATAATAACATTAACAATAATAATAATAATAATAATAATAATAATAATATTAATATTATTATTGATAAAAAAAAAAACCCAGAATATATCAGTCACCGATTTCACGTGCCATTTGCAGTTTTTTGGTCTTTGGTTTTTAGGGTTTTTTGGAATTGATCACTCAGCAATTATGCTGATTTTGGAGACCACCGTTTGGACTAGTGGTGTACAACGCCTATGCGCTCTCGTGTGGCAGTCCCTGGGCACCCGACTTCTAGGGGCCCCATGTGGTCTCTACCCATGATCGTCAGTGTAGCACCGGACCTGACACAAGAGAGATTTGTTTATACATAAAGAC